AAAAAAAAAAACTCAGCTTCCTTCCTCTAGAATCCAGGGCCCATGGTCTTGAAATTATTTTCAACTTCTCTGATAGAGAACAAGACAGATAATGATTTACTTGCCAGAGAAATGCAGATGATATTGGGCAAGGGAAAGAGAACTGTGTCTACCACACTGCTTTTTAATTCTTTAAGGAATGTTATGCTCGTGGAGCCTGGAAGGCAGGAAGAGTTGCTCACACTAAATTGAAAGGCATCACTCTAATAACTTTGGTAGTCCTCCACCCTGCTCCCTCCCAAAGACAACAAACACCAAGGTAACTACCCACCTACGGAAGTGGACGCAGCAGAGTAAAGACAGTCATTAGGGGAAAATGTCACCCACTTATGGGTAATTCTCAGTGAGCTGGCAAACACCATTTTGCTAGACGAGGCAGAGTTCACCTAGAGACACCCCAACGATGTGTATATAAAGCAGTCCTCACCCAGTAGGACATTCACCTTCAGAGCAGCACTCCAGCGTAAGCGCCATGTCTGTTCGCTTCTCCTCCGCTTCCAGACGGCTGGGCTCCGTGAGGCTCTCCAGTGCAGGAACAGCCTTGGGGGCTGGAAATGCATGCGGTGTGCCAGGCATCGGAAGTGGCTTCTCCTGCGCCTTTGGGGGCAGTACATCGGCAGGAGGGCTCGGTCTGGGCAGCGCTTCTTGCGGGGCCTTTACTACGAATGAGCACGGCCTCCTGTCAGGCAATGAGAAGGTGACCATGCAGAACCTCAATGACCGCCTGGCCTCCTACCTGGAGAACGTTCAAGCCCTGGAGGAGGCCAACGCTGACCTGGAGCAGAAGATCAAGGACTGGTATGAAAAATTTGGACCCGGGTCGTGCCGTGGTCTCGATAATGACTACAGTATATACTTCCCGATCATCGATGACCTCAGGTCCCAGGTAAGAAGTACCCAGGGGCATAGAGACAAGGAAAAGTAGGAGAGGTCACAGAAAGACATGAAGCACAGCTTCTAGAACTTCATTACCAATATTCAAAATAATGTCTGGGCTGGGGAGATGGCTCAGCAATTAAAAACACTGGCTATTGCTCTTCCAGAAGACCTGGGTTTAATTGCCAGCATCTACACAGTGGCTCACAAACCTCTGTAACTCCAGTTCCAGGGGACCTGAAGCCTTCTCCCAGTCTCTGGGGATACAAACATACAGGAAAGATACTAATACACATCAAATAAGTGAATCTTAAAAAACAATAATAATAATAATTCATACTACAATTATAATCTTTGAGCTTGACCCACCCATCATCTGAAATTAGGTATGCATGCATGTTTTTAGTAATAGAAAATATTTTAAAAACTGCCCAACATCTCCAACTAGATATTTATAAACTTAAAAGGGAATTTTTAAGGTAAAGTGGAAATTAAAATATAAAGTATCTTACGATCTGACTGTATCTTAAGTCCTCATTTTCAAAACGTCTTGTCATCAGCTGTAGGTTCGAGAAGTATTCCTATGATTTCGAATGTTACCTAATTGCAAGGCAATTTGGGTATTTTACTATGTCCTACCTCTTACCTAACTCTCCATTCATCAGATAATCTCTGCAACTGCAAATAACGCCAACATCGTCCTGCAAAATGACAACGCAAGACTGACGGCTGATGACTTCAAAATGAAGTGAGTTTTGCCAAAGGCAAATAGACCAAAAGTTGTCTGGGCACTTCCCTCTTTGCCTTGGGTTGTTGGGAGTCTTTTCCGCTCTGCTTTTGTCCATCTGTTCATTTTAAAGCATTAATTAATTAACCTAATTAACTTAGAAAATTTGGAGCTAACACAAATGAGCATAGAGGTCACAGGGAGGGGAACTTTGAATATCCCCATTGTCTTGCTTCGTACAAGTGCGTCTGTCTATTCCATCGCCGGTGGGTCTCACTGAAGCTTGCTGTATTAGGTAAAGTTTTAGGATGACCTGCAAAGTGGGGTGACTCAAATCTGGTAGGCGAGAATGAACCTTTCCAACACGCCTCTAAGGTACGAAAATGAACTGGCGCTTCATCAGAGCGTCGAGGCAGACATCAACGGCTTGCGAAGGGTCCTGGACGAGCTGACCTTGTGCAGAACTGACCTCGAGGTCCAGCTGGAAACACTCACTGAGGAGCTGGCATACCTCAAGAAGAACCATGCGGAGGTAGGCACTCAGGCTTCCCTGCCTTCCTAGCCCGCCTCCTCCGCAAAATCAAAACCTATTTTAAGATGGTAAATGGTATATCTTAGTATCAAGACTGATTTAATTCCCCTCTACGCCTTTGAAATGCTTCTATTATTCCCTCTCAAGTGAAACAAACCATCCCAGGACGGTAGCTCACAGCTACAATCCCAGATTAGGCAAGAGGATTGCTGAGAGTCCAAGGGCAGGCAGCCTGATTAAGACTGTCTCAAAAGAGAAAAAGAAACAAACTTCACAAAAATCTTTGAGCCGCATGGAGCCTGTCCGCTTGGCTCCCTTACGAACAGTCAGAACCTAATGTGGCTGAACAAAACCGTTTCAGGAAATGCAGGCTCTGCAGTGCGCCGCTGGAGGCAATGTGAACGTGGAGATGAACGCAGCCCCTGGCGTGGACCTCACAGTCCTGC